CACATGGCAAGGGGAGGGGAAGGGTCTTCAGGTACCAGGAACCTCAGAAAGCCACGTGTCATCTTGAGCAGAGCCAGCATTGGAGATGGGATGGCCATCACAGTCCTCTGGGTGCCCTGGGAGGCATCCTGGTCCTCTGCAGCAGGCAGGAAGATGCAGAGTGGCTTGTTTGTGAGAGAATATTCCTGTGCTTTCCATGGAAAAAAAGGTGTTTTCCAGTAGGTACTTTGCTCATCCCAGGCTGTCAGACTTCAGCCACCCAGAGTAGCATCCTTGGGAATGCTTCCTGCCTTTTCTTGATTTGCTTCCTGTTCTGTTTCTTATGGAAGGACCAAAAAGCCCCATTTAGTTCCCCTCAGCCTAAGGAGGGGGGTATCTATGGCCAGTTCCTTTATCAAGCTGCTGGAAGTCTGCCCAGTAAAGCAACTACTATCCAGCCCTACCAGTGCACCACATCCAACATGAGAGGTCCCAATAACCAACAGGCTGCTTGAAATCTCTCCAGATCAGCAGGGTGATGAGCAGACCCAAAGCCTGAGCTCTGGCTCACCCAGGAGCAGGGGCAGGTACCTGGGTCTCCTGCCACCTCCCACCCTTCTCCTCACAGGTGACCCTTGTCCTGGGGGTTCTGTGAGGACCTTCAGGAGGACATGGTGTCTGCTGACAGTAACTGTGGGTACCCATCAAATATGAATACAAATGACTGCTCAGCTCTCTTTCATCCTCTATGACCTACAGCAGTTTGAGGAGCAGGTTCTCCCTAACAAAACCAAGTGTCCCCTGTCACCCACCCTGTTTAATTCTTTAAGTTACTGTTGACATTGCACCTGATGGACTTGTTGAGAGCATCAGGCCCTGATGAAGTCCTTGGGCGGCATGGGTCTGATCTCCAAGGTCATGCCACCACCATGCTGTGCTTGTCCTGCCTGGTAACTCCTCAGCTGTGGCTTTCTTCATGGCTGATGCTATAGTATGGCTTTGGACCTGCTGGCTAAGCAGCTTGTGCTTGAATTCACTTCTCCATGGCCTCTGAAGTATTTTGGCATGTCACGTGCCTGCCATTCCCTGGTTGGCTTCTCCAGGAGCCTGAAAAATCAGGATGTGCCTTCCAAGTGAAGTGAAGGTCAGGGTCAGTGGTTCTCAGCCCTGCAGCCTGGTGCCACCCAGACCCTTCCCATCCGAGATCAGCCCCCCTGGGAAGGATCAACCCAAAGTGTCCTCCCCAAGCCCAGCCCAGCCTGGCTGGAGCAGCTGCTTGCACTGCTTCCACTGGCTCCCAAACCAAACCAAAGCCTCTCTCCAGCTCAAACACCCACATCCATCTCCAACCCTTCCCTGCACGTCCATCGATTGAATCGCCCCACTTTGGGGTGTGTGTGGGTGTGGGTGTGTGTGGGTGTGTGTGGCTCAGCCAAGGGAGCTGCCTTTGGGTGCTCACCATTAGCTCATCACTTGGTCACCCAGCAGCTGGTGCCTGTCCTGGGCAGCTGGGACCTGTTGGTCCATCCCTGCTCCATCTGCACGTGCCGTGTCGCGGTGACAGTGACACACGTGTCCCCAGCAGCCAGGGCTGCCATAGCAACAGCCTTTCCCACAGCACTGCAGCCCTGGAAAGACACTTCAGCTCTCATGGAACTGGCAAGAGCATAACTTTAGTGCTTTTTCTTACAGCTCTACCTACCACTGCTGCAGTCTGGGTATATATTTTTTTTTTAAATTATGTTAATTAGCACTTAAATAGTTCTGGGGTTTTTTTTGTGTGTGTTTTATTTTATTATTTTTTTTCTAAAGTATGGGATGTGGGGTTTTTTTGACTTTTATGTCTTTGATTCTTCTACTTTCTTTCCCCTCAGCTCTTGCCATCAGGCTCCAATCCCAATTTTAGTGCTCTATTTTTGTCTGTAAAAGCAACAAAAAGCCCCCCATTTTTTTTTTTAATCCTCTTCTTGTGTAGAATTAAAAAAAAAAAATAATAAGAAAAAAAAAAAGATAAATGGATGTTACATAAATGGAGCCAGGGAGGTAGGTAAGAGACACAGGTCCAATGGTGCTGGCTAGATGGGAGGGTTGGCACAAAAGGTTGTGGGGAGAGGAAAAGATGAAGTGGCTTGGCCTGATCCTTCCTGCACTGCCTTCAGCTACCAGATAAGTCTGGTTGATTAAAGAAGGGATCTCCCTAGGACACCTTCTGGTGGTGCAAGGCTGCTCTGGGAAGGAAAAGGAGACCTCTGGCAAGACATGATTCATGATGGACCAATTGGGTTCCCTACAGAAAAGCAAACCCCAACCCCCCTAAATCCTGTACCCAGTAAAGTCAGTGGTGAGTTCTGCAATGAACTCTCCTGACCCCAGGCTATGGCTTTTACCCATATATTAATTATAGGTTTGGTTTTACAAATGGAGCTTCAAGGAGAAGAACTGAAAAATGGGTGTATTTACAGAGGTTTTTATGGACCATGCATGTAGCAATCATGGAGCCTTCCAGAAAGCTTGGAGAACTCATCTCGTCTGGAAGGCAGCTGGGAGCACTGGAGTCTGCCTGGCATCACCTGTCAGATGAGTGAGAAGAACATGGAGAAATGCCTGGTCTGTGTGTGGTAGCTGGTGCTTTTGGGCTCCCAGAGGAGAAACTGCTCTGCCCCGTGTCCCTGCCATCCATGAGTGGGGCTGGTGGGTCAGTGCCCCTCTTTCCACTCCATCTCCACCTGCCCCTGCTGCCCGTGTTCACACCAGCACAGTCCCAAGGGGAAAAATAATAAATAAATCTTTATAAGAGCTACTCAGTGGCAATAACATTGCATCATTTTTTTCCCCCCCTACTGCTGCCACCTTTCCACGTGCCCCTGAGACCTCATCATGTGGAGGACAGTTCCCTTAAAATGATCTCAAAGCTCATTATCTGCAATATCCAGAGCAGCAGGTGCTGGGAGCGTGTCCTGCCCCCCCAGGCAGTGCCCAGCCCATGCTCAGAGCTTGCCCAAGATGTTCCCCTGCCCCACAGCAAACACAAATCTCTCCAACTTCTGGGAGATGTAGCTGTTTTGTTTTTTTGGGGGGGTGGGATATTTTGCAGTTGAGCTCTGTTAGTCACAGCAGAGCAGAACTACAGAAGCAGGTATGAAAGGCAGAAAAACAACCAACCTGGCTGCTCTGGAGAAGGCAGCTGTTGACTGTGGTGGTGGAAGAGAGGGCACCAGGAAAATGGCAACGAGGTGGAACTGGGAGACCAAGACACACACCTAAAGGCAACATCCAGGGATGGGTGATGGGAGATGGAACGAGAAGGAACTTTTCAAATCAGGGTACTGAACAAGACATGGTTAAACGTTACCCATCCGACTCATAACCAAAGAAAGACCTGAAACCAGTCTTTGAGAAGGATCCAGGCTGAGGATGCTGTGTGGGTCGAGGGAAGCTTGTGGGTGGCAATGCCTTGAGGAGCCATCCTGCTGCTCTCATGACACAGGAAACAGTTAATCTACAGTTACAGGAGCAACATCTGACTATTACTTGGTGTTTCTGGAGCTTGTCCCACCGGCCGGATGAAGCCACCCCCAGCTCCAACCCCCAGGTGCCTCTGTGGGCCTCCCCAGGAGCACTCCCTGTGCTGGCTTCACGAGCAGCAGCTGGCAAACCTCTCCCAGGAGGGCAAGGAAACCAGATCTCCCCTGAGGTGACACGTAGGCGCACGGTCCATCCGAAGGTAAATGCAAGGATTTGTGTCAAGTTTAAAAGGGAAAAAAAAAAAAAGCTTTCAAGTGGAAGCCTGTCCAGGCTCACCCAGTCCTGTGGGATGTGTTGTGTCTCTAGTCCACGTGGCTGCATCTTCTCCTTGCTGCTCGTTCAGATCCCTCCCAGGAAACGCAACAAACTCTGGCAGGGTCTGAAAGTCCGACACGCTACGTAACGTACGGTGCTGTGCTCTGGTTTGGCTCCTCCTCCTCTTGCTGCAGTTTTGCTTTTCAGCTTGGAGCCTGCCCGTGGGATGAGGGTGGTGGTGGGATGGCTACTGGGAGGGACTGGAGCAGCTGGCTGGTCAAAACCACACGCTGCCACGTAAGCAAAACCAAAACCCCTTCCACGAGAAGGGGTCTGACAGGGAGGTTTCACTGCAGGTAACAACCAGGGCGTATGAGAAGAAATCAACAAAAGCTGAGCAGGCAAGAAGAGGGGAAGAAACCTCTTTTGGCACTTCCCTCATGGTTTTCATCTCAGACGAGGTTAGTGAAGGCCAATACAGAAGAAGGGCAAAAACTGCTGGGAAGCAAATGCTGCTGAATATGCAGATGGGACTTGAATAGAGGGAGTTTCACTTGGCGCTGGTGGTTGCAGAGTCGGTTGGAAGACTGTGCACAACTCTCAGAGATGCCCGTGGGTGGGAAGGGGAGGTGCTTCTCAAGCCCTGATTCAAGGTTGAAAACCAAACAGCTGCCCCACAGCCCGGCCTCAACTATGAAGCAAAAACTGAAGATTTGCATGGTGCTGGCAAAGGCTCCTCTGTTCTTTTTGCTTTTTTTTACTCCAAAAATACTGTACCAGGACGCTCGCGCTCCCCTCCGATGCTGCGAACTCAAAGGCATGGTCATCAGGGAAAAGGGAAGTGAAGCTGGAGCACGTGGAATGGGCCTTGCTTGGGGTGATGCTACGATCCCCTTCCTGGGAACGTGGGCACGAAGAGTCACTTGTCCCCTGGGTTAAAAGGCAGCAATGAGTCCTGGGGCTCCTGTGCCTCCTCCCAGCTGCACAACAGGCGGCTGGGTCAGTTCCCTCCGCGTCACCATCGCTGTTCTGAAGCAGTAATTCGGGACTCCTGCATTTTCTCTCCTTTATATATATATATTTATATTTATATATATACACATATATAGTTTTTATATCTATACATATCTATCTCTATATCTATCTCAGGAGCAGTTTTAACCAGGGAAGGGGTTATGGCTGTATCTTTTAAAATAGGGATTACTCTCCACCTTCCCACAAAGGAACGGGGTGGGGGGGGGCTACTCCATCCCGCTGCGCAGGATCTGGTTGGCGGCGATCAGCATCACGCTGATGATGAAGGCCATGGCGAAGGCGCAGATAAGGCTCTTCCGGACGCAGGTCTGTCTGTTCTGCTTCTGGGCGTGCACTGCGAGGGGGAGAGAGGACAGAAGAGGTGGGTTTATGTTCCACCTGGGTCAGCTGAGATCAGAAAACCCTCCCCTCGGCTTCCGGTTACAACCCTCTCGTTATTACAACCCTCTCGTTATTACAACCCTCTCGTTATTACAACCCTCACCTGTGCCAGCCAAGTTGAGAGAGCCGGGTTTGTTCAGCCTAGGGAAGAGAAGGCTGAGGGGAGACCCTGTTACCATGTACCAGCACATAAGGGTGGCTACCAAGGAGAGGGAGACTCCAGCTCCATGGAAAAGACAAGGGACAACGGGTACAAGTTACTCCTGGGGAGATTCTGGTTGGACGCCGGAAGAAAATATTTCACCCCGAGAACAGTGAGACGTTGCAATAATCTCCCCAGGGAAGTGGTGGATTCCCCCAAATTGAGCAGTTTTAAGGCTCAGCTTGACAAGGTGCTGGGCCACCTAATTTAAACTATACTATTACCTAGAAAGGTTGAGCAGATGATCCTTGGGATCCCTTCCAACCTGGCATTCTATGGTTCTATGATACCTCTCCCTCCTGGGACTTTTCCAAATAATCCATCTTGCCTTTCACTGCTTCCAAACCACCATTCCTAGCAAACCACCCTCTCCTACTGCAGGAAGCCCTTTGAACCTCATCGCACAGAGTGGGGAGGACTGGATGCTGCATTTTGACCCCCTGTTTGATCCCAGCCCCTCTGACCAGGATTTAGCAGTGCCTGCGCCCTCATCCCAGATCCCACACGGTCCCCAGCTCCCCCCAGAAGCACAAGGAGCCCTTTTTAGGGCTTTTTAGCACTTGGAGACCAAGTGCCCCAGGCAGGGACACATGGTGCTGCTGGTGCTCTGAGCTCTGCTCTGGGCAGCTGATGAAAGCCCCTTGGGCAGCTCTCCAGAGGGACTTGCTTTTCTGCTTGCACTGCTCTGCTCCTTCCTCCATTCACTGGCTTTTCTAAAGCACAAAGAATCCGTGCAGTGACTCCTGGGGTTTGTGCCTGGTGCCTTGGCACTTTGAAAAGCTTCTTAAATTGCAGCTTTAGGGATTGCTTTGTTTATTTCTCTCTTATTTCTCTTCTCTGCAAACACTCCCAGCCAGCAGACAAAGCAGTGCCACAACCCATCCCAGCACTGCCACTCAGTGTGGGGCTCTGGTGCCCATTAGGGTGACTGGGAACAGCAGTTTAAGACTGGGCAAGGCTTTTTGTGATGTTCCTGTTCAAAGGAAAAGGGTAAAGCATGTTCAGTGTTCTTGCAGAAGTGCTCCTGAATTGACCAATGCCTTCAGCCTTCTGTTATACAATCAAGTTTAAATAGAGCTTTTAGTCAGCAGGATCCAGAGAAGTCATCATGATTGTTATTTCCCAACTGAAGGTACCATATAAACCAAATAAGCTACCAAACAGCTCCAGAAGCAAGGGGCAAGGGCTGTGCTGCAATGCAGAGGTGTTGCTGCCCCAGAGAGACCCTCTTGCTCTTGGCTGGGGCTCAGCAGG